GTCGCATTCATTTTTCGCAGCTACTCCTGGTTAGGTGTAAATAAATGTGTAAAATGTACAGTCGAAAAATCCATCTATAAAACCCTTTAACCTCGAGTATATGAGCGGGTTTTACTATATAAACACTATCGTGAAGCAACTAGGTGAACTAATGATGGTCAACTAGTCGATATCGGGATGTTTTGATATATATGTATGGACCTTGTTTTGCTATAGCGGATACATGTGCATGGTGGAAACATTTGACATCATTTGCTCGTTCCCATACATATAAGCTGGGGTTGATAGCTGTTTTGTGTGCCTGCATCATGGGGGCGTGAAAATTATTTGAAAATGCACTTGCAAAATATCTGCGTGATTTAATCTAAATTAAGACATGGTTGGCCATATAGCTATAGTCAGCTCACTTAGCTCAGTCCTTTATGACTGCATGTAATTTTCTCCAGTAAAATTAAAAACAATTCAATAATAACTAAAGTTATTTGTCCATAACTGGGAATTTTAACCTTTCATCAATAACTTAATAAAAAACCGGGAATCGTCCCGACTTTCATTAAGAATAACGAACCAAAATCTTGTAGTTGTACTCTACAGATATTAGAGAACTTAAGATGTGCTGTAAATATAGGACGCGGACGTTGAGCTAAATGTAGTGCGCGGACATGACAAAAAGGCAGTTGCCTGATATGTTTTTATTTTGGACTAGGGAATGGACAACTTGCATGTTAGACTACATTTTAATCTAAGCAAAGAGAATGGAATCAAACACCACAGCTAAAAAAACATTGCAAAATTTGGTTGCGAAATGTTGTAAAATATAGAAATTATAGCCTTGCGAAGTTTGCATATTTTCAATATATTTGTATTACGTGCGGAAATTGTTACCATTTTCGGCTCAAAAATGGTGACAATTTCCGCACGTAATACAAACATATACTGAAAATATGCAAACTTCGCAAGGCTACATTTTCTGTATTTTACAACATTTCGCAACCAAATTTTGCAATTTTAGTGATTTTAATAAGTTCTTTACGGGAATTTACTTTTTTCGCGTAAGTCAAAAATTAGTCGAACATGCAAGTTGTCTATTGTTAGCAGTTTCAATTTGTTTTCCACCTGTATCCTTCTTTGTTGATAAAAACGAATCCATATTTTTTACCCGTGTTGCTGACACTGTGAATTTAGGGTGTTTTTTTGTCTCTTAAGTTTGCTGATAACCCTATAAGTGCATCTATAACAAAAGTTTTTGGAAATGTGCATGCTTGCAAGAAACTTGTATCGTTTCTGATGTGCCTACGACCGTTGGTCCCAGCGGTCCCAACTTTAATTGTAATATAGTTCGTGTCAAAGTTCAATTTTTCTGTTTGCCGATTGGTCAAAACCGTGTCACGTACCGGTCCACAAAACGCCATGTTCGGCAACCGGCCCGCAATGAAACATTTATTGGCCATGCAGTCAATAATAAAATGGGTGCAATACGCATGCGTGTCAAACTAAACATTTACGGCGTTCCATTTATCCAGTTTTGGTTTCAAATTAAGTTCACTCCAATAACCGTTGAATTATTCATACTTTGACACTTATATACTATATAACAAAACACTTATTTACTGAGACCTCGGGAAAGCAGTGTGTTTCGGGTCCACAAAACACACTGTTTCCCTCGGTCTCAGTAAATAAGTGATCATTATATCAACCCCATAGTATCAGTCGAACACCTTAACACTACTGCGTGTAGTTCCAGGAAGCGAGTAAACAAGACATAATGGGAATACCCTTCATGCCAGATCGTACTTCATGCCGACCAAAATAAAAGCTGGCAGCTTAATATAAACGAACTATAACATAGCAGGTAAATATTTGGTGATAAATACTACCAATGATTTTCTGCCTACAATATCAATAATTTAAAAAGCGATGAATAAGGGTTTTTACCGGTTCAGCAACATACTTTTTGCCAGAACATTTTAAAGTGGAAATATTCGATTTATATAACTAATAAACTTAGGCAATTATGGCCTACCTTTCAATTAATTATATAAGTCGAATAATTTCACTCTAAAATGTTCTGGAAAAAAATATGTTATAATAGTTTTGTTTGTAGAAACACCACGTAAATTTATTACTGCAAAGCTTTCGATCCGCAAGCCCGGATCTTCATCAGTGCTAATAATATATGATCATATTATAGCACTGATGAAGATCCGGGCTTACGGACCGAAAGCTTTGCAGTAATAAATTCCACAAACAAAACTATTATACCATGATTTTTTGTGTGTAATTGGTGTAATTGTACTCAGGTGAATAGGATGCTTGTGATGTTACCCTGAGTGTATATCCACACCGAGCAAGCTTGAAAAATATGCCTGTCCACGGTGGGATATACATGCACTCAGAGTAACATCACAAGCATCAAGACTATTATATGTTTTATCTCCATGCAAACGTACAAAGAACTTAAAAAGTATGTTGCTGACCCGGTAAAAACCCTTATTCATTGCTTTTCAAATTATTGAGATTGTAGACAGAAAATCTCTGGTGATAAAAATTTAAAATACAGCTGTCAATAAAGTTAACCATTTAAACGTTTTCATGTTAACCGTTCTTTCACTGAAACCATTTGGTAGTCCAGGCCCATGATATATTTAGGGTGTTAGGATAACCATATCAAAACATCCTTGCAGTTATACAGTTTCATACAAGTTAAAAGTTTTGTGCTGCCCAATCCTATGTGTCCAGAATTGAAGCGTTTAAATAACTTGTTTGTATTTTTTAGCAGGAGCAAGTCATCTTAAATGGAATTCAGCCAACGGTGACCTGTTGGCTACCACACATGATGGTGATGTCCGAATTTGGGATATGAGGGTAAGAGATAAACAAAAAATAGGGCTTTTATCGGGTGTAACAAAATAATAGCGACCTTAAGCAAACAGGACGGCAACGCGACGACGACGGCTATTGACACAACGATTTTCCTGATCTCGTCCCACGGGAGTTAGAGACGTCGTGGTAGGGCTTTTTATAACGGCAAACCAGAGATTTTCACGTCTCGTGTACAACGCGAACATGTCAAGACGCGACAAGTGAAACTACAAATTTGCTCAACAGAAGCGTTTTTAACCACAACGCTAATTTAGTCTCTTCAAACTGAACTCAATTCATATACAGCTATTTCAATTAAGGTTGTCCACGAGCAAAGCGGAAAAGTCGAATACAAAGCGGAATAATAGCTATACTATTAAAATAAAATGAATTCAACAAATGTCGATAATTGAATATATCACGAGATATAGCCGTTTGAGCGAGAAACCTTTATGGATTCCGCGAATATTATTATTATTATCATTATTATTATTATTATTATTATTATATTATTATTATTATTGTTATTATTATTATTATTGTTATCCGGAAATGGCTCCAGATCCCAATCAGCGGTAACATTAGCCATCTAAAGCTTCCTAAATTACCACTGGGAATTGATTTCTGTTCCCCCTCTGACATATATAATCAGTCTAAACTGACAGTGCGCAGAATCTTGAGGACTTCTGTCAACTCCGATATTCAACAGCTATATACCAAAACGTCGTCAAAAAACATCGTCACTGATGATATTATTGAACGGGCGGCTGCTGGTATCTCTGAACAATATATGTTAAGAAACGCTGCAAAGAAGATTCTGGTAAAGAAAAACCTTAACGAAATTTGGTCAAACTTTGTAGAACTAAAAGAACAATCCGTGATCATTACCTGCTTAACTGATACTTGCTATAAGAAGATGATTAAAGTATGGCACGAAATTGTCACTCGAATGCCCAGCAATATAGTATGCTTTGCTAGGAGAGCGTTAATTTTAAGTTTAGGAAATAATTGTAATCTAAAGCGCTGGAACATTCGTGACTCCGCCAACTGTGAGTTGTGCAACAAGTTACAAACTCAGCTACACGTTTTTTCCAACTGCAAGGTGCCCTAGAACATCAACGCTATACTTGGCAGCATGACTCGATTCTGATGACTGTTATTCATCACTTAAAAATCGCAGTTGGTGCAGATCTTCGACTGTTTGCGGACTGTCCTAATTCAGGTACGACGTGTACTTCAACTTTATTTCGAACGCTAAGACGTGATATAGTGATGGATTTTAAGGGTTCTGTATATGTGGTTGAATTAACTGTTCCCTACGAAACCAATTGTACGAAGGCTAAACGTCGCAAGAAAGAAAGATACAGACATCTAAGATCTGAGCTGATCCCGACGTGTTATGCGTTATTATACTTGAAGTAACTTCTGAGTAACGTCTGAGAGCCACATTCTACATTTACTGCAAAAGAAACAAGCCCTGGAATAACCCAGACTTACTGAATTTTTATTAGCTACTATTGATATAAAGTGTAGAGAATGGACCTATCTGTCTAATATAGTGAACTGTTTCTCTATTTTCCTGATTTAATTGAAAGCCTAATTATGTGATATTTGTAAAAAATTATCATATTATTAATAAAGATTTCTGTTGTTTAAAATTATTATTATTATTATTATTATTATTATTAACTGATATGCTCAAGGAACTGAAGTTCGATGAACAACAAATTAAATACATTAAAAAGAAAATCATTGCTATTTGTATTCGCACATCATATTATGTATTCTGTCAGCGAAACAAAGACTGGACTAGCCCAGAGCTTCTAAAATTTTGAACAATATTAAAGTAGTCATCGATAAACTACCTTTATGAGCGAGGTTTATCAATGTAGATATAGGTTTGTGGTATATTATGAAATAAATTAAGTTTCCATTATTATTATTATTATTATTATTATTATTATTATTATTATAATTATTATTATTATTTGAAATGTCAAGGTTCCTTTTTCGAAAATGTTTCTAAATTCTCCCTATCACAACTTAACGCAATCTGGTCGGTATCGCAATCAAAGCTACCAAAGAACATTTTCAACTTTACAATTCGCTATATGAATAATACCCTTCCTACCCGAAAGAACCACAGTAGATGGGGAATTTCATCAAGTTCTGACTGCTCGTTCTGCTTACACCCTGAATCACTTCTGCACGTTGTTGCCAGTTGTCAACATTACTTGGAACGATTTACTTGGAGACACGATTGCATACTAAAGTTTCTTGCAAAAACCTTTCAAAGTTTAAACGAATGCAAATTACTTGTTGATCTTCCTGGATTTGAAAACCCCTCGATTATTACGGGTGATGAATATCGTCCTGATTTACTTGTCTCCACTTCAGACAAACACCTCTACGTTGTTGAACTTACCGTAGGCTTTGAATCAAACCTCACAAACAATGTTAACCGCGAGAAAGCTAAATATAAGAACCTAATTAGAGAACTAGATCAAAACTTTACATGTGTTAAATTTATAAATCTTTCAGTCAGTTCGCTAGGGGTGTTTGACAAAGAATGCCATACATTTGTAAAAATGCTAAATGAGTTAGGACTGGATAATCAACACCAACAATATTGCATCAGAAAAATGATAACTATTGCCATCCGATCAACGTACTACATATTTTGCTGTAGAAATAAAGAATGGACAAATCCCGCACTAATGAACATTTAAAGTAACTATTTCTATAAATAATTAAAAAATTTTGTATATAAAACTATAACTATGTATAAGTGATTCAAGTAGTCAATTGTAGGTTACCTCAAGAAGTGAGATTTACAATTGTATATATCTATAAATGTTCTATTAATAATGTTTTCATTATTATTATTATTATTTAATCTTATTTACACACATATACAACGGTAGCCCTTCAGCAAGTTTATGTACAGTTGCTTGTAGCTGATTTTCAAGGGGCCGTTGATTAATAATAAAGGAAGAAAGTAATGACAATATATATATATATATATATATATATATATATATATATATATATATATATATATATATATATATATATATATATATATATTATATATATGTTGTTCAAAATGAAAAAAAAAATAAAATATTTAAAAATTTTAATGTGCTGCTACTTAAGTTTCACGTATATATACTGCTACTTAAGTTTCACGTACTTAAGTTTTATATATATATATATATATATATATATATATATATATATATATATATATATATATATATATATATATATATATATATATATATATATATAATATAAATATGACACATATACATATCATATAAATATGACACACGAATAATCCCCCCTTCCTTCACTCAGTCCTCCCACCCACCCTTATAATAAAACATTAAAAACTTTAAGTTCTGTTGGCAGTTCATTCCAAATCTTTACTCCTGACTAGCCGATACTTTTTTTAAGAAAATTAGTTTTAGGCTTTTTTATCGAAAAGTCACAATCGTTATTGCGTATAAATTATAATTTTCGTTATTTTTCACATTAAAAATATCAGTAATTGTTGTCAGGTATTTGCCATTTTTGGCTTTGTACATAAAAACTGCCTTACTCTCTTTCCAATTTTCTATCAGTGGCTGCCAGCCTAATTCCTGTAAAATAGTCTCGGACCTAACTTCGTACGACCTACCAGTAATGACTCTTGCAGCCCTGTTTTGCTGCATTTTCTGCAGCTTTTGAAGCGAGTAAACATTACCAATGTCCCAAACAAGGCTACAGTAGTCAAAGTGAGGTTGTACTATTGCATTATAAACTGAAATTAATGTTGACTGGGGTACAAAATTTTTCATTCATCGAATCATGCCTATGGCCTTTGACACCTTGGTAACGACATTATCTATATGTGCATTCCATTTTAGCTGATCATCAATAATCACACCTAAAGTTTTTATTTCTTTCACTCTTTTTATATTACAATTTCGTAATTTAACTTTTGGATCACCTTCAATTTTGCTAATCCGTTGCCTAGACCCGGCTATCATGTATTCAGTTTTGTCCTTATTGAGAGTTAATTTATTGGCCAATAACCATTGATGTATATTTTCCAAATCATTGTTTAATTTTGTTTGGATGTCTATAATCGAGCACCCGCTTGCTGTCAGATTAGTATCGTCTGCAAACAAACTGGCTGTAGTCGTTCTTAAACAATTAGGCAAGTCGTTTATATAAATAAGAAACAGTATTGGGCCTAAATTTGAACCTTGTGGTACACCACAACGAATTATTCGAGGTTGGGATGTCACTTGATTTACTTTTAATTACACATTTGTTTTCTATTCGTTAAATATGATTTAAACCAATTTAAAGTGGTTCCTTTACAGCCAAAGTAAGACAATTTTTATGTGTAAAGTGAGGGAAAATGAGGGAAAATGTAAAGTGAGGGAAAATGTTTTAATATTCAATCGTAAAAAGCAGAGTGCGAGTATACAAAGTAATGGTCAATAATGAGAACTTTTTTTTGAATGTACTGCTATACGACTGCTACTTTTGGAACAAATTTCAACAAATATTTCAATATATATATATATATATATATATATATATATATATATATATATATATATATATATATATATATATATATATATATATATAGCTTAAGATTTTGGTTTACGAAACACAAACAGTGCTCAATACCATATAGGTAGAGCGTAATATAGTTTTTCGTTTTACCTCAAAAAACCACAACAGTCTGTTTCATCCGTATAGGACCACCTGATGATTCCTATACGGATGAAACAGACTGTTGTGGTTTTTTGAGGTAAAACGAAAAACTATATATATATATATATATATATATATATATATATATATATATATATATATATATATATATATATATATATATATATATATATATATATATGTACATGCTATATTGAAAATACTCCGCTTAGTCTAGGACCTGTATTTGAGTTTGTTTGCGTTTCATTTAGGACAGCTAATCTCAACTGTTTTAGAGTAAAATGACCATGGCGGTCAACATGGCATATGTGCCAAAACCTGAATCCGGGACGAAAGTCCTGAAACGGCAGTGTCGACATAGCTCTAACTTCCGAAAAGGAAAAGCAATAGCCTTGCTGAAGTGCTTATAGTGTTCAGAAGGGTTGGTTTTAGGGGTAGTCATTGGAAGGAAAAATTTGTCTAAGTATAATATTTTACAAGAAAATGACCATGCACCACCCCAGGTAAATTGCTAATTATGCACAAAATAACTAATATGCCTGGCAGAAATTAAATTTTCTTATTTCCTAAAAAAAATATCATGGGGTGAAAAACTATGTTCAATTTAATATAATTATTGTGGATTTCATAAGGATTGTCATTATTTTCATTAAATATAATACATTTTATTTCACTCTAAAAGAGAATCTAAAATGGGACGCCCATGTGAAACATCTTGCCTCGACGTGCTATGGCACCCTAGCAAATATCAGAAAAATTAAGAACTTTACAACTTTCACCCTGAGAAAGCATCTGGCTGAATGCTTAATTATTTCTCGTTTAGACTTTAGTGACATAGTATTCTATCCACTAACCGAACATCTACTCAATAGACTACAGCGAATACAGTACTCAGCTGCTAGTTTGTGACTGGACGTTATGTAAATAGTATTGAATCGATTTTAAAATTGGGTTGGTTACCCATGCGAGAACGAAGGGACTGGCATATTCTTAAAGCCGCACATAAGGCGTTATATAGTAGCGATTGGCCTCTCTGTGTTAGCCTTGAAAGGTCTGAACACACACGTGTTTTACGGTCTAATGCTCAAGTCAATTTAGTTATACCTTTAGTTTCTAATACCTTTCAAGATTGTTCAGCTTCATTATTTAATTCTCTACCAGCTGATATAAAATCATGCACAGATCATAGAGACTTCTCCAGACAAACTTTTAATATTTTAAAGCAACGCTGTCTCACTATTTAATTGTAATGCTTAGGTCTAGTTTACAACTTTCTTACTATTTCTTTAGATATTGTAGTAGTAGTAGTTTTATCAGGTGAAGAGCCATTGTATGGAAATACTGATAATAAATCATTATTATTATTATTATTATTATTATTATTAATGTTAACCGCAAGAAAGCTAAATATAAAAACCTAATTAGAGAACTGGATCAAAACTTTACATCTGTTAATTTTATAAATATTTCTGTCAGTTCGCTAGGGGTGTTTGACAAAGAATGTCATACATTCGTAAAAATGCTAAATGAGTTAGGACTGGATAATCAACACCAACAATATTGTATCAGAAAAATTATATCTATTGCCATCCGATCAACGTACTACATATTTTGCTGTAGAAATAAAGAATGGACAAATCCCGAACTAATGAACATTTAAAGTAACTATTTCTGTCATAAGTAGCAATTTTTGTATATAAAATTATAACCATGCATGTATAAGTGATTCAAGTAGTCAATTGTAGGTTACCTCAAGAAGTGAGATTTACAATTGTATATATCTATAAATGTTCTATTAATAAAGTTTTCATTATTATTATTATTATTATTATTATTATTATTATTATTATTATTATTATTATTATTATTATTATTATTATGAATGAGTGGAAAAAAGCCTGTACTATATTAATACATAAGAAAGGTAACACTGATGATCCGTCAAATTTCCGTCCCATAACACTTGAGTCTATACCATTAAAAGTATTTACATCTTGTCTTCGAAACGCAATATATTCCTTCCTCGCATCCAATAACTTTATCAAACACGGCATACAAAAGGGCTTCACCCCTAACCTATCTGGCACTCTAGAACACACTGCGCAAATGGCTGACATTATCAACAAAGCCCGGATCAGACAACGTGCTGTTGTCATCACCTTACTTGATCTGAAGAATGCTTTCGGCGAAGTCCATCATAATCTCATCCAATCAGTACTCGACTACCACCACATCCCAGAACACATAAAATTCGTTATAAAAAGTTTATACACTGAGTTCCAAACCTCAATAATTACCTCGGAATTCCGCACCCCTTTTATATCTGTTGGCCGTGGCGTATTGCAAGGAGATTGCCTCAGTCCTCTTCTTTTCAATATGTGCTTCAATACTTTTATCCAACATATCAAAGCTGAAAAGTACCGTCAGCTTGGCTTCTCCTTCAAGCTATTAAATCCTATCCACTGGTTCCAATTCGCTGATGACGCAGCCGTAATCACTGGCCAAGAATCTGAAAACCAGCATCTCCTAAATCGGTTTTCCATCTGGTGCCAATGGTCCAATATGATTATCAGAGTCGATAAATGTAGTACCTTTGGCATCAAGAAAGCCATCACAAAATCAGTCCAATATTTGCCGAAACTCATCATCAGCAATAATCTGATACCAACAGTAAAGATTGGAGAAGCATTTCAATATTTAGGATGTTACTTTGATTTTAACATGTCGAACGATAACCATAAGACTGAACTAACCACTCTCGTTAACGAACTAATGACTGATATTGACTCGAAGCCACTCCACCCAAGAAATAAGCTTCTCGTATACAGTCGTTATGTCTTATCCAAAATATCGTGGCATTTCACCATCGCAACACTTTCTAAAACATGGGTTATTGAAAATATTGATCCCGTAGTCAACCATTACATCCGTAAATGGCTTGAAATTCCAATCTCAGGAACACTAAGTACTGTTTTTCTAACTCACAACAAAT